CCCCGGCCGTTGGAAGAAGAATATTTATTTCGTTTTTAGAGATTATGTTAATCGTATGAATGATGATTGTGTGATACGCTTAGATGAAAGTCTCATGAGCCATCATAGATTTACGATAAACGGCAGTTGATAGCACGTCGAGCATTGCATCAACATAATAGTGTGCTTATTCATATGGTATATGCGGTCTGAGATTTATCTGATATCACACTCGTACAAGTTTCAATAAAGAGCGAATTAATCGTTATATTTTTTTAGTTGATGCTATTATATTACAAAAGTATATCTAATTTAGTTTAGGCAATCTTTACATAGGGTACTTGCACAAAGTGAGGCTTTTTCTACATTTTTTTATGCAAAAGTAGAATAAATTTAGAAAAAAAATTACATATTTATAATTAGGTAAATGTCTTATATATAGACTTATATAGTACCTATCCAGATATATGGTACAAGAGATATTTGAGATTAGTGTTGCCTACACTATTAAGTATTTATATTAACAACATCATCAATACGAATGAGTTGTTGTGTAAGTTCTTAACTAACAATTATCGAGATAGTGTTGATAAATTTTATTTTATATGAAAGTAGTATGACGATAGGTAGAATTCAGGAAAGTTGACAGAGTTTGACAGACTATAATATCTTGACGCGAAGAAATTCACACTAATATTGCTATATTTTATTTTTTGACAAAAATATATAATGTAAAACTAAAATTAGAGTATAATTAATAGCATCATCATCATCATCATTTCAGTCATTCTGTGTCCAATGCTGTCTCCGCCATAGATTATAATACCGTACTCATATACCACAGTATCATCGCTGACTGTCACAAAGTATCCTATGATGTTCATGGTACTTTTTGTGTTTATAGGCAACGGTTATTATTTTCCATGAAGTGAGTTTTTTATAACACAGGAAGCAAACAAACATGCGGCACACCTGATGCTAACTACTGTTGCCCAAAATCACGCGCAACGTCAGAGGCGTTGCTGGTGTGCGCTTTAAAAGTGAGTCATTAGTTTCTTTGCTATTCTAAGTTGCATAAAAAAATTTCACATAAGTGCTTGTCTATATTGTAAACATAAGTATTGTTTCTATAAAATTATGAATTTTAATTTTCATACCACTAAAGAATCGAGAGACGTGGGTATCTACAGTTTAATGAACAATACCTAAATCAACCTTTGGTTTAGCAACGGTCAACGATCAAGATAAAATGTACGCAATCGCAAGTTTAGTGTTACGTTGTTTCCAAACGAAACAATCTGTGCGAATTAAAATGAGGAAACTGTTTACAAAACCCTCCTATTTATTTTGGTGGCTCCGCGCTTGCCCTACTTGCTCAAATCTAATGCAAATTTCACGCGCAGATAGCGATAAATTGGTACTCACCACCACTTACCTGAGCACTGTGATAAAAAATAATATCCTCAATTATTTATCCCACAGTACCAACCTACTTTTAATTTTTTTGCCATTCAATAATAATATATAGTTTCTATTTTTAATTAATTTTGACTGTAAATTTAAAATAGAGGAGATAGAGAGTAATTATAGTAACGATCATAAGTGACCTCATTACTAACAATATACCTTGACAGATCGATCTTTACGCGATCCAGCGATAACCCAAATGTATAAATTAATAGCGCAGGTGGGATCTATCATTCAATTTTCTTTATTAAGATCGAATTATTATAATTTTTTTTCTAGTGCCTCTTGAGATAAGTCATCGAAATATTAAACCTTTACTATGCACATCATAGAAATATTTATTTATTTCATCGACTAGGGCAGCTTGTTTTTTAAAATGTATATAATACTTAGAAAGTATCAATATAACAATAAATACAGTAACAAAGATAAAAAATACATATATGACAAATGAATATGAAGCAGTACACAGCAACGTGATAATATAATTGTAGAAATAATAATAATCTATATTTTATTAACTGTACGTAAATTCTACGACTATCCGACAAAACTTCAGGAAGTTGACAGCAAACATGTCTAATTGTAAATACTGGCTCAAAATATCGTTCAATAGTCTTAACGCAAGATTATTACGTATCTTAAACTCACCTTAGTTTCAACTATCTGTCAACATCTCGCTGGTAAACACGGGTTTCTCATCATAAGAGGGCAGGTTTCCTATTTCATGTTTATAAATTTTAAAAGTTGTAAAGATTTGATTGTTTCTTATTCATTCACACTTCAATGCCTGACTGAAGCAAGCGAGCAGGATACAGCACTAACTGTAAATTCTTAACTCAATATACTATATTAAGAATTTGTAGACATATGCAGAAAGTTAAAAACAAAATGTAGCTACGGAACCCCATCAATGTGTAACATGTTCTTTGCTGTCTATTGTTTTATACATAAATTCAATAAAAAATACAAAACTGACGTACCTACCTACATTAGAATGCTACTCAAATAGGCATGATAAAATTATAGCAAGCGGAATTAATCGTACCTAACCGTTTATCGTAACTTGCATTATGATTTTGACATACTTAATTGGTATACTTATTTGAAATTACCTGGTAATTAGTAATTGCAGAAAAAACAAATTGAATTCTAATGTGACTTTTTACGCCTCATAAAGTTATAGATAGGCACCTAGAAATAAATATCTTACCCAACTATCGTATTTAGACTTAGATCATGTTCTTTAATATTTATAGAGCATTGGTAAGGTCCGGTAAATGTCGCGGTATCCGTCAGCGGTTCAGTACATAAACAGTTGAACGAGAATAAATACCTTCATTAGTTTTTTAAATGGATGATAATAGAATGGTAGCACTAATGGTATATGCTGGTGGGGCACTAGTGAGGGATGACAGGTGAGAAGAAAAGGCAGTCAGTTAGCACATAGTGATGAATACATCTGGGATAAAGCACGATGGTTTCTAGGGGGGATACATAGAGACAGGGTATATTGTTAGCAATGGGATTAGTAGTTCGCATTACTAACAATCCTTTGCCCCCTAAATACGTTACTTACATAGCTATAAGAAAAACAAGCTATATCAAATTATAAAGAATTTCATCTAAATATTATGTCGCGTTACATAGATTTCAACCTACTTAATTTGATCATTGTATTTTTACTGTTGTTTGTTATTCTATGGTAATTCTGTTCTAATTTAGATGATTCATTTTACAATTGGCAAGGTTTATTTTCCCATTAGTCTTACCAACATAATGATTTGAAACAAGTTCTATTTATAAATATTAAGACTTATGCAGACGATGGTTATTTCTTTCTACAATCAAAACTTCTTTGTGTAAGCCATATAGGTACTTCCTACTTGTACAACACGAGCGCGTTGTAGCATGCACTTTTACAACCAGACTATTTAAAACGAGGATATAGTCTCTCGTCGAAAGCCTTGGCGGACGAAGCTAACATAAAGGGAAATTTTGTGTGCGATCAATTAAAATGACTTTTAAGTACCTATGTATAAGTTTATGTATAATATTTTCTATATATGGATATATTTGTATATTATACATATCCTTTCTTCTTTACTAGCTTTTACCCGCGATTTCGTCTGCAAGTCCGGGACAAAAAGTAACCTATATCCTTCTCCATCCCCTAACATGTATATCAAATTTAATAGTAATCGGTTAAGCCGTTAAAGCGCTATAAGGTAATGAAACAAACTCACTTTCACATTTATAATATTAGTCAAAATGGTTGTCAGGGAGAGATTGCTTAGCGATAAGACCACATTTTGTATTATTTAGTGTAATCTTTATAACAAGTGCAGTAAAGTGTAAATAAATAAATAACTATCATTCGTCTGCGCAGTCTATTATGATTAGATAACGAATTTGCATTTTCCACTTGCTCAATTTGATTCTATAATGAAATTTTTTATTTGACAATATTACTATAGCAATCAGTGTTTTCTTTGACAAAGTAAATCTATTTGCCAATAAATAGAAGTAATCAGACGAACAACAAATCCGTTCTATGGATTCGTTAGTTCAGGTCAAGCAATAAAAAGCTAAGAATCGTGTATCGAAACACAATTGTATAAGAAACGCTAAGCAAATAGTCTAGGAGCTATGTGATTACACGATTAGTTTCGACCGCGTAACAGACTGGCGGCGAGACGTTCCGAACTATTTATTTCTTTATACACCTATACATTCTCCAACAAAATATCCGTATACAGTATGCTAAATATAGCAACCCATTTTTTAAAACTAGTGTTAATATTTATTAATATATTTTTTTTCCTATAAAAAGATTTAATATCAACTAAAGTTGAAAAAATCATTAAAATTCTGGAAAAAAGAATAAATAGCCTTATCTATACCAACAGGTAACAACGACTACATAATGATACATGTAACTTTTTGACAGTCAAAAATTACAAGAATTGTTTCTTTTTTCTGCAGGCATTTGTGTATAAATATTGCGTGTAGTCTAAAAAGGAAGTATATAAAAAGCGTTTAGTAGGAACCATGCTTTTATTCTGTAACAATAAGAAATATATATCAAAAATATGTCAAATTTGCATAAACAATTGTATATATTATAATAATCGTATAGTCGATAATAAAATGAACTTTATATAATGTTCTATGTAAAACAATTAAAATATATATAATTCTCAATAGAAACATGATTAATAAAAGCTGTTTTATAAATGCAAAATAAAATTAACATTTATTACCTAGTTGCCTTTATTGAAATATTAAAAGTATAAATGCTTGTAAATATTCATATGTATTATTCTATAAATCATATTGGGTATTTATTTTAATAATTAAAATAAACAAACAAAAGTGTATAAAATATATTGGATTTTTTTCATAACAGTAGTTATTAAAATTTAAACAATTGTGATAATTTGTATACACACATTATGTTTACCTCTGTAATCTTTGAATCCGTAATTTGTATCAATCTCATCAAAAACATTTCATTTGAAAAGAAGACCAACTTAATGCAAAAAAGATATAGAGGGTTTAATTTATTAATTTGATGTTTGGAAGAAATACAGCACAAAAAAGGGAGTATGTCCTAAGATAGTTGATGCGGTCACTTCTGTGGCTCTAAATTCAATTTCGTCACATTACAAAAGTAATATAATTGCATTTAAAATAAGAAAAAAATTACAATTTATGATAGAATGTCAATTTTTAAATTACAGGTTTAAGAGAAAACCCATTAGAAATGAGAATTAAAGTATTACATAAATGTAATTATTAGCATACAACATAATATTACAACTTATAAAATCTCGAAAAATATATTTTTTTTTTTATTAAATATGTAGTAATTACGAACTACATGTCTTCATGCCAAATCCCTTAAGAGACAAATCTCACTTATTGAACACTTTGTGTATTAATTGAATATAACTTATAATATAGAGGAACCACTATTTATAAATGCTTAAAATACCATTCTAAATTAAACCATATTCGACACTGGCATTTCTATATTTGTTGATACCATAGAGAAGTTCATAGTAATTTTACCGAATAGTAACATGGGATAGTTGGGCCAAAGAATAACTGTTTTTGTATTTAAGAATCGCTATATAAGATTTTTCAGTATTCTTTATTAAATGATATAGTTTTCATGTATGTTTGTCAAGAATTGTGATAATTTGTTACTATTACTACCGCCGACGAAATTTCTACTGAAATAATAGCGGTTTTATATAAACCTGCTTACTGCACGTAAACAGGTTTATGTGAATCTGCGCAAACGTACATACCGTGCATCGACACGTAGCATGTAAACGATCACTATTTTGAACAATATCATTAACTTTTATGGAGATGCTTGTCAAGAATTTTAACAGTTTGCAGGATGTGACAAAAATATGTATGTTCTAGTATCATTATTATATTTTAATTTACACGTGTTCAATGTTTAAATTTGAAATTGTAATTAATTTTATTTCTTTCAACAATAATTTGAAAATTTATGTCGAAAGAAATAAAATGGTTTACAATATTTATTTATATATTATATTTTATATTATATTTACTTTAAATGGATATTGCAGAATGTTAGATTTATTCACCCTCTTCAACATTACTTTTTATCTTTATGCTAAGTCCGTTACAAGATAGACAGTGAGAAGTGTGCCAGACGTCTACATATTTACCTCTACATTTACATAAAATTGTCTCATAGTCGCTAATTTTTAAATTAACAATAAAAATTCTGACTGGCAGTGATCGACGAATGTGTTGTGCTTTCCCGAATCGTTTTTATTTTTAGACCTAATGCATATCCCTTGCATCATGAGAGAAATAGGTCTTTTACCTATTTTATTTTTTCATTTGGTGTATCAGATGACAAGCAAATGACGATGACGTACTATATATCTGTAGTCTGTGACTAGCACTTAGTATATTAGCTGCGCTAGTTTCAATTTATAATACTGGTTACTAATGTTATATGTTTTATTTAAGCTAAAATAATCACCAGTCTCTCGCGAATTATACTTACATAATTTTAACACTGTTAACTGGTTTTTGTGAAGACAAAATAAATTACATACTTTTCAATAATATACGAAATAAATTCACTCTATCTGATGGCAGTGTGATCTAAATATAGAATTTTTTATCGCAATGGCTAGCGCTATACTAGCGGTTGTTAACTTGACGCTCTGCTAAAAGCCTTTGGATTTTGCAATGCAATTAGAATTAGTTTATTTTAAACTTTCGCGTTGTTTACACATATTTTAAATACACAATTGGGACTTAACGCGATGTAAACGTAATGTGGATACCGTGAGTGCGGTCTGTAGGGTTACTCCAGATAATAATGGTGACAATGTGAGGTACCTGAGTAGACTGCGCGAGCTGCAAAATAAAGACGACGGTCACTTCAGTCTTGTCGTGACTACGACATAGTGCAAACCACGTGGAAACGTCGGCAATAAAGAAGCAGGTAAGACTACTTACCTGTAAAAACTTTTACATCGTGCTAAGTCCCGATTGTGTATTTAAAATATGCAATTAAAATTGTTTATACATTGCATATGGCTTGGTAGGCTTCAATGTGATCTCTGTTGGCAGGTGTTAATGTTAATTGGCGACTGGCTTTTAAGAATACGACCACTCCTGGCTTAGCCGTGATAGGTAAAGTATCGCACACCTCTCCAGAGCCTGATGTAATGATTATAAGACTTGGGCTTGGTCTGATTATGGTATTGTATGGTTCACCATCACTCTCCACCTGTATAGTGACGAAAAAATATTGAATTAATACTACATTATGAATATTGTAACATTATCGAATCTTATTATTGTCTCTAAATAAATAAAAATACCGGTTAAAGTCTACTTATGTGCCCTTGTTTCGCCCATATTTATGATATAAAGCAACTATGCTAATATATCGCAAAATAATAATTTAAGAATTTGTTTTACAAAAAATAACAACTTCCACTATAACAAAAGATTTAACAGGGAATTAAATTCCATCGAATACAAAAAAGAATATTCAAAATTAACTCGGAATTGGCAAGGTATCGTGTAACACGTGTATGTTACGCTGTTTGTACAAGAAAGGTATAGGCAAACTGAGAGTCTCCTTGTCTAAGAAATCAGTGAAAAAATACTTTAACAACAACTGATCTTTACATTTTTTTATTTTAGATACTTTAAATAGTCTTACTCTAATTTTGACTACAGCAAAATCAGCCACTGGTGGTCTCCAAATGCAGCTGTTTGCGTCCTCCATATGTGGATTGAATAGCAACTGCTCTTGCGCATAGCTGCTATAGTCTAACATCTCTATGAGAGTTTCTATGTCAATCGGCTTGGGTGTAAGGCCGGCGCGTACTACGTTGTCTGAACAAGCCATACATTCTACGCAGTCTGAAACTCATAATGAATAATTTTTTTAGATAACTTATTCTATTTATTGTTTACTTTTCAAGCAAGGAAAAATATTTATTTACATTACTCTCCTTCATATAGACTATGTTTGAAGAAATATGTTACTTACATTCTCTATACTAACTAGTCTGTTCATCAATTTACTGGGTAGTGAGGAATAAATAAAATAAAAACATGACAATGTTTTAGACAAGATCAACATCAAAAATAATGTAATGTATTTATGTAATGTAGTATTAGTTACCTCCACTAATATAAGCATGGGGCAAGTTTGATTTAAGAAAAATGGCTTGGCCCGGCCTTAGCTGCATATAGTTCATAAAATAAGGAGCCCAGCAGCCCACGTCACCAGGGTAGTCTTGATGCAGACGTCGTACCAAAGGATACAGCAAGGCTGACTGTGTTTCGAGATCTACAATAAATAAAAAAAAAAATTTCAACAGTGGAAAAAATTTATGTTCCTAGAATAATAAATATCATTAGTCTAATAGTACTAAGTAAAATTACTCAAATGAATACTATACGGCTAGTATACAAATATTGCAGCATAGTAATAATTATACCATATATACCAAGACATATAGTGAAAGGAATTCTCTCAAGATACAAAAAATTTTTTTCTATTTAATTAAATGAAGCAAAAAATAAAATTAATTAGTTGTGAATGTGAAAACCACTATTACAACAAGAAATAAATAAATTTTCAGATTAGGAGTTACAATTTCTTTATAGTTTAATAAATTATTTTTAAGTACTAAATGGCTATGGAATCGAGACTTGTGGTTTCTGTTAATTATTTTGTAATTATAGTTAATTTGAAGTAAAATTTCCAAATTAGAAAATGTTTTTATTTACATTTTACTTATATAGTAATAATTTATCATCATTTTTATTCTCTTGTACAATTTTGTAATAATAAATATTACAGACAACATTGAGATTGTGTAGGTTATAATAATAATATATTCATTTGGAACAGATCACGTATTATCTGCCACTTCTCATTCATACATAACAATATATGCAAATAATTTAGAAATTTTCCTTCAAATTATCTTTAAGCGCCATCTACGTAGTATTTCTTGTACAATTTTGTTTAGTGACCAACCACCTTAATTGATTATTATATACCTAATAATTTATTAAGTATACTTTCATTACATAATCATTCATTACCAGAGAAAGACTTTGTACAAAAGTCGGTTGCTTGAGTACCTCTGTCCCATTCGTGTTTTTACTGTGAAGCAGCTGTGGGATATGGCAGTGAATTTACAGGGTACAAAGGAATAATACCTGAGTCCTCAGGAATGGCAACGCATGGGGTATCATGGGCGAAAGAGTATACACTGTCATGTCCATGGTACTGCTCATGTCTATAGGCGACTGTCACCACTTTCCGTCAGGTGAGCCAACAGCTAGTTAGCCATTCTAAGTTGCATAAAAAAAAATAAAAAGAAAACATTACTAATTACCTTCATTTTCTAATCTTGCTAGCAAATTCTTTAAGCTATTAGCTATAGCAGTCTTGTCACATAACATTAGGGCCTTGATAACTTGTTTCAGAACTTTATCACTGTTTCCTTGTTCTTCATGTGCTAAAATAGCATCTACAGCATCTTGAGGCAATATTTGAGTTAGTTCTGGTAGTTCTATAAATTAAAACAAACATATACAATATTTTGTACATCTAAAATTATTGAATAATACTAAGTATAGATCTTAGAATTGGCCTTGTGGTCCCGGCATGGAATAGGCTATGTCTTCCTTTCCTGTAAGTTTCATAAAAGGCGACTAAGGAAGGTGCAAGGGATGGACAGCAGCATCACTCTTAAAACATCTCTAAAGCCTAACTGTGGTTGCCAATCCGCCTCTTAAGGGTGGGAACTACTGGCAAAACCTCTGAGGGTGGAGGGGGGGGGGGGTACTTATGTTCAGCAATGGATAGTTAAAGGCTGATATGATGATGATAGGTCTTAAAATAATTTATATGTTATTAAGATGTTGCTATATAAAACAATGAAATAATTAAATATATATAAATATACACTTATGAGCCATTCATATTTTTAATAAATATGATTATCACGAGCATCAGCAACAGCAATTAAATATGTAATTTTATAGTAAAGTACTTACTAGATAAAAATGTTTGAATTTGTGGTAACAGTCTGAATCCACAAAGGGCTTCAAAAGGTGTTAGTGCTATTGAGAGCTCAGGTTTGTGGTTGGGATCAGTGTACCGCTCTGGAAAACTCTGATGAAGTTGTTCAGCATGTTCCTGTAACATTAGAAGCAAAGTATCTCTATATTAAATATCATCTTTGATACATTTAATAGTAAGTATTTTCACATTGTAATTGTAATATTTCAGTAATGATAACTATAAAATCTCACTAGGATTATATACAAATAGTACTCTCAATGCGAATCTTATATAAAGCTTAGTTTTATAATTTTTACAAAAATATATGTTGCATTATGTGTGTTTAATTTAAACTTTGTGAGAAATTTTTGAAATTTTAACATATTCTAATTATGAACCATACACCATTTACTATGATATGGCAATAGGTAATTGGTATTGATCTGAGAAACAGCAAAATAATTGTCATGATCTTGTGACCAGTTTTATCGCTGGATACTTAATACGACATTTGACACACAAAATACTAACTCTACTAAAAGAAAATTCTACTAAAAATGAACAGAACTATATTTTTTATAAATAATTACATTATAGAAAGTACCGTTCTAATATTGTTAAAGATGATAATTATTAAATAAACTTACTTTGTTTGGATGTGCTTGTATCGATAATGCTTTTTCTATTGACAAGACTTTCAGCAAAAAGGGCACTTGTATACCAAACTTCTTTTTCACAACAGGTCCTATTGCATCTTGATTGTCTTTAATATATTCCGAAAGCAAGACATCACGTTCAATAATAAGTGAGGGCCCATTAGGGTGTGTACCCATCCACAATTCTGCATAAGGTTTGTTAGATTCAATTACAGAGTTGGCATCTGCACTGGCTATTAATTTCGCAACAGTACTATTGAGACCCCGTTTGCCCCACTCATAGTTTTGAACTTTGCATTGCAGTTCCATGTCACCTAGAACAAAAGTAAAAGCAACTAAGGTTATTTTAATTTACAACTTTAAACAGTGGTTTATCATCTAGGCTCCATGGCCAATTTTCAGATAGAACTCGTCCATTACATAATTTTAAAAAATTCAAAGAATTTTCCATAGAGAGAATAGCCAAGTTGTATAGATATTTTTCATCTTGATAGTTTATTCGTATAATTTGTGTATGTACTAGAGTTAATACTTTAATTTTCAAAATAAATAAATATTTTTTCACTAATTTATGTAAATTTAAGTAAATAATTAGATTCTTCCTGTGCTTACTAGCTCTTGGACCAGGAACCACCATAAGCAAGGGCCTCATTGTTACTGACTTCAAAACCATTACATGTTATAATATAAATAATTTTATCTTTTTAAACTGCTATTGCATTATGCATTACTATTAAGCATAATTAATATGGTATAAGAAAATACTACGAATGAATTTAAAGAAACAGTGTAATATAAATTGTTAATAAGTATTTATAGTAATTAAATAATATACACTTGTAATAAGTGTAACAAAATCACCGGTTTTTCACCGCAACTTACTGTTGAAAGCAAATTAAAAAGAAAAAAATATATAAGCTATGTCTATAACTATCTAATCTACTTACTTTTTAACTTTAGTTTTTAATTGAGAAAATAGAAACAAAATTTCGATAAGATAGAGTGGATAAAGGTGTAATTAAATAGCTATTGAAGTGATGACTTAACCTGACAGTTGAACCTGAAAATCAGCCCGCTGAATGACTGATTGACATATTCAGTTGTCAGTGTTACTAACTCGGTACTAGGTATTCTGCTTACATCAAACTTATAAAAGAATTATATTTTTCTAAATTTAATTATATATATTATTTAACACAATTTTCTAATTTTTACTGTTTTATTCTTTTTACTAAATAACCTAGTCTATTTTTTAAACAAAATACAGAATCCTGGATATATATTTACTAGTAAGAAAATTTCCAAACGGTAAAAAAATATTTAAAAAAGAAAACATTTTATTCACTGTTTCTTTTTTATGCAACTTAGAATGGCAAAGCCGACAGCTCACCTTATGGAGTGGTATCCGTCGCTTATAGACATGAGCAATACCATGGACATAATAAAATATACTGTTTCGTCCATGATACCCCCATGCGTTGAGTCAGGTGTTATTCCTCCGTACCCTGTAAATTCAAAATAAAACACATGTAAACACGACTGCTTCATGATAGAAACACGAATGGGACAGAGGTGCCCAAGCAAACAACTTTTGTGCAAAGTCTCCCACTAGTAAAATTGATTGAATTTGATATTGAATGATTAAGCTACAACAGCAATATTTAAACCAAAACTGAAGATTAGACAGCATGGTCTTATACTTTCGCCTGTTCCTTATGGAATAAACCTTATTAAAAAAAAAAATATTATTAAACTGACTATTGCTGACTACTGAACAAGCAGAACAGTATAACGCAATTGTACACAACAAGGGATTTTGAACCCTAAAGATTTACTATCTATAAAGTTCTGATAAAATTTTTGAATATTATTGACATGATTTTAACAAAGGCTAGTCTTCGCTGGTAATTGCTTTCAGAATTATTATCACAAATTCACTATCACAAGAGAAACTATCATCACAAAAAATTACTATCACAAGAGAATTATGTAAATTGACAGAGTTTCAGTATTAGCTACATTCAAACTATTTTCCTTTTTGCTTTATAAGGCGGCGTAACAAACAGCGTCATAGATCACTAGGTTTCACTTGTTAGCCTTATTTCTCTTGGCAGTACAGTATTAGATGTTCAGTTATAAAATCAAAAGTACCAAGATCGAATTAGATGCGACCCTTTATTGATGTGTAGCTCCTATGGCTACCCCTGCACGTCAGCAATTTTATAGTCGATTGATACCTCCTATGAAATTTTCAATGGTTTATTTTTATAAAAATCAAGTCTGTCATTATTTCAATTCTGCAAGACTACCTAAAAGTAAACAAAGAACTTTTGGGGGTAAGTACCTAATTGTGCAAAGAATATTTTTTTACATATGAATTTGGTATACTATTATATGTACCTATTAGATAATAGATACCTTAGGATCGGGGAGAAAGGGATTGTTTTACTTGAAATTAATCATACTTATATCTCTTATACAAAATTAATGAAACTTAATTTTAGTATATCCTAAAATTCATCCCCTGACTGTATTAAAAAAAGCGTGATGTCTTTTTCGATCCACTATTTGCTGGTGAAAATGTTTAGTTTGACCAGTAGAACACTCCATAGGGTGTTGACTGACGATTTCTTTCATTGTATACATAAAAAGAGACAACACTGCAATAATAGCTAAAATAGATTTATTAGATGTTTAAGGCTTTATAATATGGGGGATTAAGTAGTAAAGTAATAAGTGCGAAAGTTTATGAGCATGTATGTTTGTTACTTAAACGTGTGTATATATATACTAAATATTTAATATATATATTTGGTACAAGATAGGTTATATTGTAACTTAACACATAATTTATAAGTACATTAATGCACGCGAGCAAAGACATAAGGAACAGCTATTCATTAATAATCTACTTAGATTAAAATCATTTGATCAAAATATCTTTATGAATTTTCGTTTCTTCATATGATATTATATCGGCTTTTAAACTATTTAAAACATCACGGTCGGGCACTTTTGATACATCAATGAGATTTTCAGACATGTTAACTGGATTTTTTAAATTGTTCACTTTCAGTTTATTTTCAAACATGCTCTCACTTTTAATAAGTTTTGGCGGTATAGAGAAACCTGAGAGGCCTCGATTCGATATTTCCACATTAATAATATCGTCTCCTGATTCACAAAGACTAGGATCATGCCTAAATTTAGCTTCATCCGGTAAAGCCAGATAACTTTGTCTTGTATTTTTATTTGACGAAGGGCTAAATTTCTGTTCAATTTCCTTTAAATCTAAATAAGGATATTTTTTCATAATAACTGACAGTTCAAATGAACGGAAATCATCATCACTAAACTTAATTTTATTTTGAGATTTTTTTATTCCATTTATATAAATATCATGAGCGGAATCTTTAATTTTTTTCATTGCATTTTCCATGTTATTAACCATTTTTTTAGTTCTTTCTGCAATATCTGTATGGTGAAGGGCATTGCATAACCGGGTACCTGTAAATAGCATATCTTTTAAGAATTCATCAAATAAATTTATCTTCGGATGACGCAAGAACGTAATTTTTTTGAACGTTGCGCTGTTGGTTTATTCTGATGGGATACCAGTGAATGATAATAAGTGAAGATAAAGTCAGGTCTCTTAGCCTAAAAATTCACCATGAATTTACCATCATGATTAACTAAATAACCCGAGAGGTTAACATAACAGAATAGATATCTATATTGCTAGCAACTCTATTACTAATTCCCATTGCCAACATTCCCCCGAGAACCTACATATATTACATAAATCATTTTATACTTACGGTTTCTATTTGATCGAATAAATGACCATTTTTTATTAGTATCTCTGCGAAGAGAGAATGTGTAGTTGAAAGCTAGACATAACAAAATACAAACAACTGTTAATACAGCTGTGTTTTTCTGCATTGTATTCACTATTACATTTAACTAAATAGGAAGAAATAAGAATATAATTCAACGGATTAATATTATTGGATGACAAGCAAGCTGTCAAACGTAAATACGTAAAAAGAAAATGTTAAATAAGAGTAAGTAGACACTAGTAATCTTTGATTTGATCCATAACAAAAATAATTATCAAAATTAATGACTCTTTTCTCACGTCAGACCCACACATTTTATTACGACTGTAATCTCTACATCACAATAGTTCTTTTTCGCAGGACAAAATTTTACATAATCATATTTTAACTTCTATTTTTGTATATTTTACAAAAAAATAATCTAATACATACAAATTGAATTTTATATTATAGCTTCTTTTGTAATACGAATCATATCCTTAATTTAATAAATATATAAAAGTTCCTTGTGGTCCCGGCATAGAATAGTCAGGCATCAAATAGGCATCACTCCTTCCTTTCCCGTGGGCGTCGTAAGAGGCGACTAAGGATGGGCAACAGGATCCTTCTTAAAACATCTCCAAAGCCTAACTGCGGTTGCCAATCCACCTGCTAAGCATAGCAGTTACTGACAAAACCTCCCAAGTTTCCCCGGCTTATGTTCAGCAGTGGATAGTAAAGTTTATGAATGAATGAATGAATAAAACTTTTATGAAGAATATTCACTATAATAAGAGTAATAAATATTAAAGACGGGCTAAAAGGAAACATCCAAAGCCGTAAAGCTATCTTAAAAAAGTAACAGACTTGGTCTCTACCAAGTGCCTACTAACTGCATATAGTTTTCAATTCAGATCTTTAATGGAATATTTAAAAAACTTTTTAATGCTTGCCTACACCATACAGTTCCCGTTTTTTAAATGACGTATTTTTTGCTTTAATATTTTTAATTTAATTGTACTCATATATCTAATCTAGTTTTACACATAGGATATTTTGGCCAAGCCGAAAGATAGTAGTTGACATTTGTAAAATATACTATGCCATTTTTGGGAAACTTTCCATATGATATAATTTAACAATGACGTACAGAAAACTTTAGAAATACGCCTATAGGGCAGGCTTTGCGCACAATAAACTCCCGGATTGGTCCGATATATTCGCCACCAACCCCTTTCCACTCGGAGATGAGACAGGGCCGAAGCGCTATAATAATAGGGGCGGAGTTATGTCCTCAAAGGATGTCGGGAAACGCACCTGACGCAACTTCAATACACGTGATCCCTGCGTTTAGACAACACATGTACTTAAAATTTTATTAAAATATACGATACAAAAACGAATTCATTAATAAAACGATGAGTAGCGATAATAAGACCGACAGTAATGTATTAGATCCGCAGACAACTATTCAAATTCCGCGGCCATCGTCACCTCGAAAGTTTTTTGCTCGTATATACGGTCATCTTGAAGAGTCTGGAGTCACAAAACAAACAAATGAAGCGACGGAGAGATTACAATTTGAAAGCGAGTCGTCTTCCGACGTGGAGATTGGAGAAAATGAAGGCATGGGTGCAGAAGTGCGGAGTCCACCACTATGGGTGCCGCCGCCTCCCTTGCCGATTTGTCCTCGTCCAATGCTACTACCACATCAACAACTGGCTTTCGGAGCTGGTCTTGCAGCTTTCTGTGAGTAATTATATTAGTTACGAAGTTTAAATATTTATTCTAAATCTTTTTTTGTATAAAACTTCCTTAACCCATCATCATATCAGCTCGTAACTGTCCACTGCTGAACATAGGTGCCCCCTATTAGGGGAGTTTTGCCAGTAACCGCAACACTTGGCAGGCGGGTTGGCAACAGCACCAAAACCTGGTGATATTTTAA